CACCACCAAGACCACGGAGACCACCAAGACCGCACCACAGCACCCCCAAGACCACCAAGAGTAGACTGCCACAATCACCACCAAGACCACCAAGACCACCGACCACCAAGACACCAAGACTACCAAGACCACCAAGGCCACCGAGCACCACCAACACCGCCTAGACCGCCACAATCACCACTAAGACCACCAAGACCACCGAGACACCAAGACCGGACCACCAAGGCCACCGGGACCACCAAGAGCACCACCAACACCGCCTAGGCCGCCACAATCACCACCAAGACCACCGGGACTACCAAGACTAAAGTAGTCTGAGCGAGATACTGTGACATGACATGACCTTCTACTTAAGTAGTCGAAACGAGATAGGGCCTCCACATAATGGATAGCGCGTTTGAGCTCAGTACCAAATAAATGCCGCACATATGTAAGCTGACCGTATATTTAAATCGTACCGTATATTCATTTCGTATGTTTAAAGGGTCGGGCCGGGCTGGCAAAAACCTTGCCGGAGGTAGTCTAAAATACCTCTTCACCTGTTTTAAAAATCGTATATTTAAAAAGCGATACCGTAATATATATATATATTGTATCTTAATATATCTTAATCATTTGCTATGGATTCATCATCTTGGCTGTGCATGCCCCTTATACCCACCGGCAAAACCCAGGCCACCCTGAAAAAGATCTCTCCTTGAAACGGTGAGATCATGTACGTTGGATTGCGGTCGTTTCACATGTGACCTGCAAGCTTTGATGTGTTCGTTTTTATTGGTCAATACGTTGTGACGAAAACGACTCCCTTCAACCCAAATGAAAGAAAACGAACTGCTCGGTGGAGTCTTGAGACAGAATCTGGAGAGTCCCAGTGCCTAGCAGTAACTCATTCGCATCCCATTGGCCCATTGCCATCGTAACCCATTTGTGGCGCACGCAATCTCCCAACCTCACTGCCCTCGAAGAAACGCATCGATTGGCCTGTTCCAACCAGCGCCCTGGCCAGCCTCTTAATGAAACCTCGCCACGCATCGATTCTTTAGACGTATCGATGGATTCGATGGTGGCTGGGAAGCATGGATAGCAGGCTTGGCATAGCTTGGCTCACAACAGTTTTTCCGTGTTGTTTCATGTTGTATCAGTTGTTTCTTGGCCGTTCTGGGCGTGCAAACCATCGCGTCCAAGGAGCGTGATGTTCTGCAGGCGAGTCCTTCTGGTATGAAATCACTTGGTAATCGCTTTTAGTCCTTGAGCAAGTTGAATTTGGATAGAAAGGGGGTGCAGCAAGGCATTTGTTGCTGCAAGAAGTGTATATAATCTGATATCATTTCCAATTACCTTGAGAACTGTTGGCGGGACTTGATGACAACTTTTATAATCATATAGACATAGATCATAGATCCACCCCAGAGTCCCACTCAGTGCAGGATGCTCAACGTCGAGTTGGCGCTTGTGCAGACGTAGCTACAAGGTTTGGAACCCGATGACGGGCACCCCGAAAGATGGTGTCGTCAGACTGTCAGGGTAGGACGGATAACCTGGTGGATCAAGCTACTTGCAGTCTGTGTGGTCCTCAACCCATCATCAACGATGTTTACCAGGGTCTTTGGATTGACCACGACTGTGCCCAGGTGTGACAATCCTTTGTTGCTTCCAGCCTTCAGGATGAAACGCCATTTGCACCATTTGTGTGGAATCACAGTGATAGATCCGGGAATATCATATGGATGCAGGGATCATTCTTGGGGCCATTGCTTCACGTATTGTGCATAGGAGCCAGTAGCTGCTCGCTACGATTGGGATTTCATGATTTCATCCAAGTTCCAGGCTAAAGGAGTTGGTCGCAAGAGACTCGGGGAGACCGTTGTAGACTCTGGTCGTATTTGTTGATATTTGTTGCAAAAGCGAGATTCACATCATGTTTTTGTCCGCCTCTCTAGGCCCTGAGAATCACCTTTATCCAGATCAACAAGAAGATATCAAAGAAGCTAGACTTGTTGCCCAAAGAAGACACCATTATCAACCAAGTTTAAAAATTGTTGGAGAAGCCGCCCTTCCACGCAACCAATGATCAGATGATTTACCGGACCCTCCTTCGCGACAGGCTGCTTGTTCTGAATGGAGAAGAGATACCAAAACGCCAGCTGCCCGGGTCAGGAGAATCTGAATGTGCGATTTCCAAATAGAGAAGGCCTGGAGTTATATACTGTAATCGACTTCAATAGCACGAAGTTGGAAACATAATTATGGAATACGACAGGGGTTTTATATGTTTTCTTTTGTTTAATGGTTTTATAAGATTTGAAGTTTCAGGAAGCACTTCATCCATTTTGATCCTCAAGAGCCAGTAAAAAAATACACAAATGATTTGTATATTATGATTCATGCGTCATATGGCTTTTCTTTGTGGCTGTAGCAGCGTAGCGTTACAATCGATTTGCGTGTTCTGGCTTCCCCGCGATCGCCTTCGAATCGAGGCTACAAAGATATCTCCGAGTCGCGCAAGCCCTGTGCTCGAGCACGGAGCCATGGACCGCGAGCGCAGAATCTGCACACAGAATGTGCACATTGTGTGGTAAGAAAGTTTTAACAAATCAGCGCAACTGTTATACATATGTGTTGTCTTTGACGGGAACTTTGGGGAAAGTGATTTATGTGACCAATACTTTGCAAAGATGAGTCTATTGAGGTCAGGTGCCCGTGATGAAATCCTGCACGAGCTAGCAATCCGATACAAAAACTGCTTTGTTTGTAATCTTGTATCAAGTCCCGTGTCGCATTCACAATATTCACAGTAACCAGCTTTCAGGAAAGCAATCTCGGTGAGCAAGCCTTTAAATGCCTTTGATATCCTTTAATGCTTGATGTCAATGTTTCTGACTTCCAAGCTGCTATGTTTTGATGTGTTTCCCTGGTGGCCCGTTTCTCTCAACGCTCGGAACCCCCGCGAAACGAGCGATGACCAATTAGGTCTGGCAGAACGCCCAGCGTTTGGTGACGGTCGCTTGGTCCGCACGCGGACGAAACAGTCTCAGTTTCTGATCAGTTCGATCCACCGTTCTTGTTTTGCCTAGGCCCTAGGCAGATGTGCCAAGACATGGGCAAGAGGAAAACAATTGTTCTATCTCATTATATGTTTCTAGGAACCCAAGGCAGACAGATGTTTCTGTTTTTTGCATGTTCACTCTTGCCTGAGGGATTTTACTAACACGTGGTTCTTCAATCAGATTGTTTGAGTTTGACACTTATTTGATACGGAACACAGCTGAGAATGCGTGTCCAAGACAGCCAAGGGAATGCGTGTCCAAGACAGCCAACGGTTGTGCTATGAAGGTATGGATAAGGCTCCAGAATCCAGCATTTCAACTGTCATTCGAATGATATTAAACTATTGTTTCTTGTAATTTGCCAAGGTTCTTCCCAAGCTCCTTCATCCACTCAGATAGATGCCACCTACCTTGGCTCGAGATCCTGAGGACCTGCCATCGGCTGCTCTCCCGTTGAAGAGTTGTGGCCCGCTGGTGGCCTTGGCCTACCCGGAACGTGTGGCCAGGCGAGCGGTCGTCGGGGGTGCTGGGCACTTTTGTGTCAGGGGACTTCATGGGGGCGCTCATGCCTAGGGGCATATCGTTCCACTTTATGTTCATATCTATGTTGCCTTTGAGTTCTGTATATAGTTTATTTTTTGTTAAAATCTTTCTTGTGGATGCACCTTCATTGATCAAACATGAACACATATGTTATTTGATTTAGTAACTAGACAATTGCATGCTTGGAAGGGACGGAAAAGTCAGAACAGCCATTGCAGTCGTATGCAACCTGCAGTTTTCTGTGAACCCAATTTTGGAGCCATGCAAATGTCTTTGTTTGAACATGTGTTTGCTACTTTGTGTTTGATTCTTGCCGATATTTAGGGGCTATCGCCCGCGGCCCGAGAGGGGTCGGAGGCCCACAGTGGAGCGGTCTAGAAGTGGTGGAATATGTGGAAGATGAGACTTCCCTCCTGGCTTGGTAGAGACAGTCATGAGCCATGAACCGATGGATGCTGGAATATCTTGCACTAGAATCCATTTGCAACCATGTCTCCTTTTGTGGTGCTTCCATCTCATGCATGTCCATTATGCCTGATGCGTGTTTATGCAGGAGATTCTTCAACAACCCACTTTGAGTCAATGTTTCCCCTTCCCGCCATGCACTCTTTAGCCTTAGCAGGTCAAAGTTGAAGCCACACCCACGCGGCCCACGCCGGAGAAGCTCTCCGACTTGCAATGCCACTTTAAGGCCGAACATGCCCCACTAGCCACGTCTTGCGGCTTCTTTTCTTCGGCTCCAGCGGCGACTATCCGAACACGAGCCACGGATGGCCAGGAAGACAAGACATGGACCCCGGTGGCGCGCGCGCGGTCCCTTTGGGGTTTCTACCGTGCATGCGGCGCGCCCAATACCACGCAGCAAGGCAGATTTTTGTGAATGTCACGGCAGCGTCACATCGCCCACCGCTCACCAGAGTGCCTCAACAGGAACACGCCGGCCCCGCTCCGCTCACGCTCACGTTCATCGGCCTAGACCGGGTTCGGCGGATTGAATTTGCCAATGTTTTGTGTTTCCGAATTTTGCTTCTTCTATATGGTCTGTTTTCGATTTTTGCTGGTTTTTGGAACTGCTTCTTGAGATTGCCGTTTTTGTTTTCAACTGCTTCGAGTCATGGCTTTTTATTTTTATCTTCATATAAGAGGCTAATCAGGATTCCAATGATTTCAGTCTTGGAATCCCTGAAGAGCACTCCTGGTGCCGCAAATGCCGCAAAGATGATATAGCTTGAGATTTGGGGAGGCATCATGGAGCAGTTGCATGGAATGACCAAGTATCCAAGAGTTTGATGAATAAGAGAAACTCTGTGAATCTTTCAGATTGGCATGGAACAGCAGGAAATCTGAATGTTAAAGCATCAAGGGGAGTGAAGCAGAATGAAAGAACATATGCAGGAAAAGGTGATAAGTGATGAATCACCCTTTGATGAGACACGTGGGTTCATAAATGATCTATTGGGCTTGGATGGGGCTGCCTTACCATCGCACAAACCGACACGGTCTCAGGCGTGGCAAAAACGGCCGCTTCGTCTTGCGAGATGGATCTCGCTGTTCTGTGCGGGTCGCAGTGGTGTGCGAGCGACAGTTCTGTGGCTCTTCCCGGAAACGCCACGAAGTGTTTCCGAAGGAGTGGGTTGTCGTTGCTGCTCTTGCTGCTCAGGATGGTGGTAGTCGTAGTTGTTGAAGTAGCAGTAGGAGTGGGAGTGGTAGGGGTAGGAGTGGAGTAGTAGTAAGGAGTGGGAGTGGTAGGGGTAGGAGTGGAGTAGTAGTAAGGAGTAGGAGTAGAAGTAGAAGTAGTGGTAGTAGTAAGTAGTAGTAGTAGTAGTAGTAGTAGTAGTAGTAGTAGTAGTAGTAG